GGAGGGACAGCGCAGGAGGGGAAGGCCCTATATGAGGTGGATTGATTCAGTGATTGGGATAATCGGGATGGGAGTGTCAGAGACAGTGCGATTGGCACAGGACAGAGCAGAGTTTAGGGCTGCTATACATAGGGTCGCTATGAGTCGCAAGCGACTTGACAGCACATAACAACAGCAACATATACAACAGGGAGAATCATACATAGAGAATATCCCAACCAAACAAAATCCTTCAGGGTTGGCAGAACTTGTCTATCCAGGAACAAAACATGTGCTATGCAGACAGGATGAAAGCAGGGACCATAACTCACTGAAAGGACAGTTGCAAAATAAAATCCAGCCGACCAAGCGAAGAGATAGTGTGCACTCCCCACCTGGACTAGGGAACAATCCATATATTATCAAAGTGTTTCAAGCTAATGAAAACTCAAAAGGTAAAATCTGTCCTTAAAGCTATTTTTAAGCCTTTTCTCAAACCAGGTGGCACTAAAAGAGATTGGGAAACTGCTAAGAAAAGAGGCTCTAGATGGAAAAAATAATGAGCAAATAAAAGGCAGCATCCTATTGTGTGTTACAGCAGGTCAAGAGGGGAAGAGTGAGGCAAAGAATCAGAACTCATTTCAGTCTCTGCTCTGTTCAGTCACATCCTCTTTGAAAATACTGCTGGAAAGTGTCTGATAAGTGCTTGAAAAACTGGAAATAAATAGCAAGAGCTGTTGTTGAGTACTGTCAAGTCAGAACTGACCGACGGCTGCCTCTCTGGTGGGTTTTCAGAGGCAATGTATTGCACGGGAGGAGACTGTTTATTTTTCTCTGCAGAGCAGCTAGTGGATTTGAACCACCTGACTTTGTGATGGCAGCACAACTTCCTTACCACTAGAACCAGAGCTCTCAAATAATCACAGCAATAGCCATCATTTCCTGAATCTTTACCAAGTACCTGTTAAGCACTGATTTTATGGTTATTTCTCACATGCAAAACTAGTTAACCATAGTGCCTAGCAGAAGATAAGGAAAGGCTGGCCATAGTAACGGAGACCCCAAAACCAAGCCCACTGCCATCAAGGTGATGCTGAGGCAGTGACTCTGCACATGAGGGGAATGTCCCGCTCTCTCCTAAGAAGCAGGTGGTGGTCTGGAACCATCAACCTTTTGGTTTACACTGCAATATGTAGTGCACTAAGCCAGCAGAGAAAGTTTAGGTAAAATGATAAGTAGATAATATTTTCATTTCAATGATAATGATTACAAAACTTCTAGAAGTTTTATTTCATTCTTTTAAAAATCTCTTTCATTTTATATCATAATTTTTACGTTTTCTAATGCTAAAAAGGTGTTTTTGCATGTGGCTTTCCACAGATGAAATTATTTCAAGGCCCCAGCATAATGAGGGGACCTCAGTTCTCGCTGGCCCAAAGCCCCACCCACTACATCTGTGTGAGCATTTACACGGCAATGCATACAGACATCCTTGGGGCTGCTATTTCTCAATTTACATACACACCAGTTCTGAGCTACATTTTCCAGGTACCTGGGCATTTCTATTTTTATGTTACCTAGGTATTTTAAAGATCATTTTGAATATTTTACCCAGTATTTCTAGATTTAAAGGAGGGAAGAGTAGTCTTAAGTTAGCTCTCTATGACACAGAACTAGAACTGGAAGTCTTATTTTACAAATGCACCAACTGAGCCTTAAATGGGTGAAATAACTCTTGAACTCAGATCATTCTGAAATCAATCTCTGTTGTACTTAGTAGTCAAGTATATCCATCACTGCCTTGGCACACTGCTCTGAGTAACCCACCGGTGTTACATAAAGCCAATATGACAAGGAGTCCTTCATGTACCCTATCCCATTGCTGCTGAGTTAATTCCAACTCACAGAACAGAGGAGAACTTCCTCACTGGGCTTCCAAGGCTGGACATTTTTACAGAAGCAGACTGCCACATCTTTTCTCCACTAAGTGGCTGGTGGGCTTGAACCAGCAATCTTCTGGTTAGAAGTCAAACACTTTAACCAATGTACTGCCAGGTCCCCTAGATGCACGAATATATTCATTCTGTCTCCTGTTGTGCCACCTGCAAATGCCAGTGACTTTTTCATCTTTTAAAACACAACCTTACTGAATAGACACAAAGAAATGCTACTTTGCACCACCTCGAAATATCTTAAAAACCCAATATACATCCACCTGTATAAATGCTAACTTAGGTGATATAATCAAGAAGTCTCTCTTCATTACTGACTTTATGATAGGGAATTTCTGATTATTAGTAATAAAAATTTAAAATTAAAGATCATGAAAAAAATCATGAAACCTGTTTTCTGCCAATAACTGGCTGTTTAACCCTAGGTAAGCTAAGACCTCTCTGTTTTGCTTTGCCTTCAAATTTGGGATAATATCTTTCTTAATGTCTAAGAGGGAAGGATGGGCAGTCTCCTCCCATGCTATTTATTCATGTGCTATTTTCTCTGACACTCACTGGAGGATCAATTATGGGTCAATTCTGACAAAATGAAACACAACCACAAAAGCCAGGGTATCAAGGAGATTTAACTCATATGAGATAATGTATTTGGATATATAAAAAGAATATCTTATTATTATCATTGTTGTTCTTGTTATTATGTGCTGTCAAGTCGCCTGCGACCTACAGCGACCCTATGTACAACAGTTCTGAAGCCTGCCTTGTCCTGACCAACACACCAACTCCCACTGCCCCAGTCACTGCATCAAATCATCTCATCTGGAGTCTTCCTCTCCTGCATTCTCTTTCCACCCTTCCAAGCATGATGCTCTTCTCCAAGGACCAGTGTCTCCTGGCCACTTGCCCATAGTCTGACCAGGAACAGTGAGAGATGAATGCAAAAATATTCTACCTTCATGTTGCAAGCTAATTCCATTAGCTTTTTTGCATTTTCTTCTGAACGATATCTCTTAGGGAGCTGAACCCTGAAGAACTTCAAGGCACCTTCAAAATCTGTCAACAGCAGGTCATCCTTTGAAGTCTTAAAGAAGTAAGAAAAAGAAACCATGTATAGAAAATCTTTGGCCCCAAAAGCATCTTATAAATACATCTCCTTTATAATCCCCCAGAAGAAATTTTTAGCCCTTGTCAGAGCACCATGCACATACCCAGTCTCAGGGCAATAATTGAGCACAGTAAGAGGCTATTTAGAGGAAAATTCAGACCAGTGTATTGCAAGTGCTAAACAGAGAATGCCAGATAACTCAGCTTATAAATAAATGTGTACCTTCAATAGTCCAAGGGCAACATTGAAAATAACACTTATTCCCTGAAAGAGAAAACAAAATGAACATTTTTCAGCATTTATTTTATTAATGGGTTATTAGATTGATGTTCTCAAAAATCCCAGAATTTTAAAGAAATTATGAAAAATCACATAAGGAAATGGAGTATTTTGGTAAGTAAAAATTAAATGGCCATTCAAAAGAAATTTCAAGCAGACCCAATCTATTTTCTGAAATAAGAGCTTTTTCTAGTTCTATCTTCATATTCAACACACACAAAAAATGCTGCCCAAAGATAGTTTATTTTCCTAAAATATTTCTTTGGGAGTGCTGGTGGTCTACCGTTTAGAAATTGAACTGGTAACCCAAAGATGCATGGTTCGAATCTACCAACTGCTCTGTGAGAGAATGACCAACAATCAACTCCTGTGCAATCTGCTGCCTCTGACAACCCGCTGGAGGGTCGGCTATGAGTTGGTCCTGACTCGATACACAACAAAAATATCTTTCATGCTTGCAGATCAAAGTATCATAGTTAGACAATTGTGATCTAACAGGGAAAAAACACCCAACTCTTGGTGGACTTCTCCCTTATCTTGTGCTATCCTACACCAAGTACAGTAAACACTCTGTCCTTAAGTCTGAGTTTGCTATCTGCTAAGGGCTCCTGTGTTCTTTATATAATTCTGGAAGTGGTGGGGCCAAAGGATGGACAAAGGGAGATATCAACACCTGGTGATCAAGTTAAATTGCTTTTGGGCCTAAGTTTCCATAAAAGACCAAAATTCTCCCAAGAGTTTTCCGAGATAATGAATAAAAATTCTGTGCAAATTACTTAGTATGGAACGTGACCTTTAGCAACTATTTAACAAATTATTTGTAATAGGTAAAAATTGACAGGATTAAAAGTCTGAAATTAGGAGCTGTTTACATAAATTATGGAATACATGGATAGCTATTAAAAATGATGGTATATTTGGTAGTGCTTATTTCTTATTATTCTTTTTGTAACATTTCAAGCTGGTTAATAGAAACAAACTCACTGTGGACTTCTGTATGTCATCAATAAAGCATAATTAATTTAAAAGAATGATAGTATAAATATGTATGGGTCAAGTATACGAAAAGTTACCAATTCTACATAGGATGATCCAGTTTTTAAAGTATACACAGAAGCAGAATATACATCATTACATAATATTCTATATATAAATTATATATATACATACGAACAGAGATACAGCTGAAAGAGCATGCCACACCTCAGAGTGCTGAAAGCAGGGCTAGCTCTGGACAGTGCGATGCAAGCATCTCAATTTTTAAATTCTCCTTTTCCAATTTTATGTGCTTTTTTTTATGTAAGTAGTTTTATTTTGGTTTTCTTCCCCTTAAGCGCGCACACACACACACCCTCACAACACATGTCAAGACAAAGATAAAGCCTTAATGGGTTGCTATCTATTTTCTCTTTAGTAACAGGACTCCAATTTCTAGCACATTCCTACCAACTAGCATCTAATCTCCACAGCAACTAGATGGAGGAACGGAACGAAGTCTGGTCAGCAAATGCTAAGTAGAACAGGTGGGTGCAACTCCCCTTTGTGGGTTCCATTTTTGCACTTTTCTTGGCGGCGCAGATTACTGTCTTTCCTGTCTCCAGCCCTTCTGGCTTGATGAGAAGTGTGTGAACTAAAACTCCACTCAATGAGAAGGAGGAGAGCCAGATTCTAGCGGAAACAGGGCAACTGCTGACCTCCTGACTTCTTTTACATGACAAATAATATACTTCTATCTATTTACTTACTATGGGCTTCTTCACTACATGCAGCCAAATTTAACACTAACTAATATACATGTATAATATTTCCTTTGACAAAATGCAGTTAGTGTAGCCTCTGGAAGGGTCTCATAAGCTGATTTTCCAGCGCTGTAATAATGAATGAGGATAAATTCTGTTTTCACAGAGGTGACACAAGGAAGACATTGTGAAAGAAAATCTGATACCTACATACATACCTCACATAAAAGCAGGTCAATGATATGGAAGACCATGTAGAGAGGGAATTTTGCAGTGAAAAGTGTAAGAAACCATTGGGAGGCATACATGTGTGCTTCAAGGCTTATATCCAGGAAGTGGTTGTAGAGGTCAGGAATATATTCCTAAAATAGCAAACTAATTAGTTTCAGGCACATTTACAATTGTCCAATTTCCACTTAGAAGGCTTACAGATCTGCTAAGAATAAACCAAAAAGGCCACATTCTTATGTTTTTCTGAAAACCTCCAGAGTAGTATTAAGCTGGGTCTCAGCCTTTTTTCCTAGCCCATAAAGTAGCTCTAAAGAAAGAGGAATCCCCAAAATGGTGACAAGTTATTTAGAAGGTCAGTTTCCATCCCCACACCCAAAGTTATGAAATGTTTGGAAAAACGGTTTCACTTTTGTTATGAAATTCCTAACTAGTCTGCTTTAGAACTGTGAATTTGTCTCGACCACGTTTGCCGTGGAAAAGTCCTTACAAAGTCATCTGACCTTCTGGGTGTTTATTAGACTGAAAATACAGCTCACAAGCATCAAGTTCACATCTTACTAATCTTGGCAACATTACAATATAGTGAGAAATGACAAAAACAAAACCCATCCCAGTCATGGGGAGCTAAGGCAATTGATATTACTCCTTGATATTTTCCATCAAACTATTTCTCTGGTGATCTAGAGAGTAGGGAGTTGGGCTACTATGCTGAAAGGTGGAGCCTCTTTAGAGGTTTGAAACCTTCTCCCACTCCCCAGGAGGAACATGGGTATTTTCTTTGCAAATGTTTTACAACTTCTGAAAACCAGCTGGAGGGTCAGCTATGAGTCACAACTGAGTTTGAGTTTAAGCACACTTGTCAAAAAGTAGACCTGTTTCTATTTTTACCTGCATGAGGCGCTCCAATTGGTAAAATTTGCAGTGTAAATCTTCAAAGTTTTGCTTGAAAAGTTCCCTGAGACCATAGTCAAACATGATTTTGACCAGAACACTAAATGCCTGCTCTTCAGGCATCTGAAAAAACAGAACATGGAAAAAACTAGATTATGACATTTTCTTATTTTATACTCTTTTCCTTCTACTGTCTTATTTAGGTATCGGGCAATTCAGTGATAGCTATCAACGGTGGCTTTTAATTTTGTTTTCTAACATTTATTCACTCAACCAATGCTGTGTACTCTGTGTCTGACATGGTTCTGTCCTTAGAAGCTTCCCATATAATTAGTGTACAATAGAAGAACTATAATATGAATGACATGGAGAGATCAGCGGGAACAGAGAAGTAGGAAAGCCCAAGTTTGCCTAAGGGATTAGGAATAGACTTTGCAGAGAGAATAGGATTTGACGGGATATAAACAGGCTAACTACAAAGGCTGAGCAACTCTAGATGCTCAATTTTACTAGCAGCTTCTCAGGATAAAGAAGGGCAGCCTCTGATCATTTACAGCCATAAAAAAACCAATGGAGGGTTTCTATAAGCAATGGCAATCAGCTAAATGGGAAACACGCTCACAGAAAAATACAGGCTGTATGAGGCTTCATTTTTCCCCAACCATTATCACACTTTTGTTAAATCATCTTACTTCATTCAAGTGGATATATCACAGTATAAGAAATGTTATTCTTCTTCATCATTGCTAAAAATAGAGTGATAAAGAATGCTTCTTATTCTAAGGAATAGTTAAGTCTGAAACATTTAAATGCTAGTATTACAAAACCTCTACTTTTGTTTACCACCGTTACCTACCTATAGGACACCTATATCCTCCACAAAGGTGGTCTGGTGGCTTAGTGTAAGAAGCTGTGCTGCCAACCTGAAAGCATGTGTTTAAATCCACAAGCTGCTCCATGAAAGATGGGCAATCTCCTCCTGTGCAATTTACTGTCTCCTAAAACCTACTGGAAGGTGAGCTATGGTTTGGTTCTGACTCGACAGTACTGATTTAACGGATAGATATAAAGGTGGACAATAAGGTTGATAGAAGAAGAATTGATTCCGTTGAATTGTGGTGGATAAGAGTAGTGAATTATCATTGACTGCCAAGAGAACAAGCAGGTCTGCCTTGGCGGAAGTGCAACCGGATGCTCCAGAGAGGCAAGGAAAGTGAAACTTTGTCTTATGTAATTTGGGTATGTTATCAGGAAGGGCCAGTTCTTGGAAAGAGGAATCATGGTGGATGAGGTGGAAGGTCAGAGAAAGGAGGACTCTCCACAAAATGGATGGAGACAGTGACTCTAACAATGGGTTTGAGTAAGATCACATGGACGGTGCAGGACAGCACAAGGTTCTGATCTGTGGTTCACAGGGTCGTTACGAAGAGTAGCTGATTCAATGGCACATAACAACAACGACAACAAAAGAGAAATCTGTTGAAGTAATAAACTAGAGAAGCACAGCAGATTAACACTAAAAAGTTTTGGGTATTTGGAGCACAGGACCAGATCGATGAGACTGCTGGTATGGGAAGGAAGAGTTTTTCCCCACAGTGTTGAGAGGTACATGGATACCCCTGGATGACATTTCTAATGGTAGGTATCCTACCTCCTTCCCCTCTGAGATGAGCTTTTATCGCATCTGACAACACTGGTAGGTAGACCACCAAATTAAACCAAAAACCAACACTAGAAAAGCAGCAGAGAGTTTACTGTAACATAACAGGTTTGACAAGGAAATCATTTTAAAAGAGTTGAAACACTTAAATGCTGTTGTGCTACTTGTCCTTGAAATGAAGTTAAAAACAAAGAAAAATCAGACAGGCTTTGATACACAAAATATTACTAAAATAATGAAACGATCAAATTTAAAAACTTAATCTCTTATTAATATCATAAAATACATCATAATTTCACATACTTTCTTTTTTAATTGAGATTTATGAAAGAGTATAGAGAACTTGGATTTTCATTTATTCATTGTTGTACATTTTCCTTGCTGCCCACACCCTGCCCAACTGGTTTTTCTCTTTGAAAAGAAAAAAAATTTCTTTCACTGTTACACAATTCCCCCTCCAGCCCACTTTACTATGCAGCTCTTAGTCTGGATTTCTGTCATGCAAATAATACCTAATCAAAAAATCCCTTTTAAACAGTTCTTTCCTTCATCTGTTTCAATGCAGTGTACATTATTTATCCCATCTTTTCTTAGTTTCCTCCCCAAACCCAATGTCAGTCCTATTTTATAACAGTGGCATTATGTACTATGTCCTTTTGTGACCTGAGATATTTCACTCAACATAATGTCCTCCAGGGTCACCCATTTTGTACAGTATTTCAAGAGTTCTTTGTTTTTCAATGCTGAATAGTATTCCATTGTGTGGATATACCACAGCTTCTCTAGCCATTTGTTTGTTGATGGGGACTTGGGTTGTTTCCAACTCTTTGCTATTGTGAACAAAGCAGCAATAAACATAGGTGTGTATAACTCTGCTTGGGTGGCAGTTCTGGTTTCTTTAGGGTATATTCCCAGTAGTGGAATTGCTGAGTCAAATGGTATTTCTATTTGCAACTTTCTCAGAAAGTGTCATACAGCTTTCCATAGTGGATGCACCATTTTACACTCCCACCATGAATGAATAAGGGTTCCAATTTCTCCACAAACACGCCAGCATTTGTTGTTTGCTTCACATACTTTCTAACACAAAGTCACAGTCTTTTCAAATATCTGCTATGAATCTGACAATGAATAAGGATGACATAAGAAAAATTGAGGCTTTTGAGCTGTGATGTTGTAGAAGAGTACTTAATATTCCATGGACTGACAAAAGAATAAACAGGTATGTCTTGGAAAAAGTGCAACTAGAATGCTCCCTGGAGACAAAGATGACAAAGCTCAATCTCACATACTTTGATTATGTTGTTAGGAGAGAATATTCCTTGGAAAGGGACATTATGATGCTACGTGAACTAAGTCCCATAAGGACAAATACTGTGCAAGATCATTATTGTAAAAATACATAATGAGTAAAATGTGTATGAGGATCTAAGGTGCAAAGGGCATGAGCAGAGGGTTGGGGGATCATAGGGTCATACAATTTGCTGGGTAGAGTGAGTGGTGGGTAAAGGAAATGGGAAACATCAGGTGTGAAAAACAATGTATATGATCTTTATAAGTAAACCAGTATAAAATAAAAAAATTATTTATTTTTTTTTTTTTAAAACAAAGGGACATCATGCTTGGAATGGTGAAGGGTAGGTGAAAGAGAAGAATATCTTTAACAAAGTGGATTGATAAAGTGACTGCAACAATGGACTTAAGAATGCCACAAATGATGAAAATGGTATGGGGTAGGACAGGGTACAGATATGTTGCTGAAACAGTTGCTATCAGTTGTACTCAACTCAATGGCACCTAACAACAACCAACACAAGCTAAAAAAATATCTGTTTTGAAACCTACACAAAATAGTTAAAAAATCCTTCAAAACTTTTTAATATTAATTTTATTATTAATTTATGAACATTTACAGAGATTGTGGATTTCCATTCATTCATTCATTCATTGTTGCATTTTTCTCCACACCCACCCCACCCTCACTCCCAGTTTGCTCCTCTTTAAAAGAAAAACTCCTTCATTGGTATACAATCCCCCTGCACACTCCCACCCTCACCCAGAGTATACTTCACTCTGCAACCCTCATTCCAAACTCTTATGATAATCATAATGCCCTAAATATATTTCTTTTAAACTGTTCTCTCCCTCATCAGCTTCAATGCAGTGTACATAATTTATTCAGTTTTTCTCAGACTTAACCCCACGCTGATGTCAGCCTCATTCTACAATAGTGGCACCATGCAGTATTTGTCCTTTTGTGACTGAGATATTTCACTCAGCTGAATGTCCTTCAGGGTCACCCATTTTGAATAATATTGCATGAGTTCCTTGTTTTTCAATGCAGCGTAGTATTCCATTGTGTGAATATACCATAGCTTCTCTTTCCATTCATTTGTTGATGGGCACTTAGATTGTTTCCAACTCCTTGCTATTGTGAGCAAAGCCATGATAAACATGAGTGTGCATTTATCTGCTTGGATGTTGGTTATGGTCTCTTTAGGGTATATTCCCAGTAGTGGAATTGCTGGGTCAAATGGTATCTCTATATTTGCAACTTTTAGAAAGCGCCACAGCACTTTCCACAGTGGTTGCACCATTTGACACTCCCATCAAGAGTGAATAAGGGTTCCAGTCTCTCCACAACCTTACCAACATTTGTTGCTTGCTGTTCTGTTAACTTTTGCTAGTCTTACTGGGGTGAGATGACTATCTCATAGTTGTCTTGATTTGCATCTCTCTTAGAGCTAGAGATTTTGAACATTTCTTCATGTGCTTGTTGGCCATCTGAATGTCTTCTTTGGTGAAGTTTCTGTTCATATTCTGTGCCCATTTTTCTATTGGATTATTTACATTTATCTTGTTGTGGTGCTCAAGTATTTTATAAATTCTAGATATAAGTCCCTTATCTGACATGTCATTACCAAATACTTTTTCCCAGTCTATGGCTTCCCTTTTTACCCTGTTGGAGAAGTTTTTGAATGTGCATAGGAATTTGATTCTTAGAAGGTCCCACTCATCTATTTTATCTTCTCCTGGTTGTAGATGTTTCAGGATACTTGGAAGACTGTTTATGTTGTGGATTAGGACTACTAAAGTTCCTCCAAGCTTTTCTTTAATGATGTTTATAATCCTTGGTTTTAGTCCTAGATCCATGATCCACCTTGAGTTGGGTTTTTGTATATGGAGTGAGGTGTGGATCTTGCTTAAGTCTTCTGCAGATAGTTTTCCAATTCTGCCAACACCTTTTGTTAAAAAGGCTGTCATTTCCCCACTTAACTGATTTCATCTCCTTGTAAAAATCAGTTGACCATAAATAGATGGGCTGATTTCCGGGTTCTCAATTCTATTCCATTGAAAACCTTCAAAACTTTTAAAGTTCACTACTTTCGAATATCATTTGAGAAGCTGGACTTTACAAAGAAGAGTGTAGCATCAGGATTCGAGGAAGACTCACCAACAACTCTTGCTGTGCAGATGGCACAATCTTGCTCGTTGAAAATGAGGAAGACTTATTTAAAGCACTTTCTGCAGAAGATAAAGGACTACATCCTTCGATAATAACTGCATCCCAGGCAAGCCTGTGCACCAGTGCGGTGCTCTTCCTTTCCACTCCACCATCGATGTTGGGATTACCATGGAGATACAGATTTTTGTAAAAACCATCATGCTAAAGTTTGAACCCTCGGACACAAATCAGAAATGTCAAGACCAAATCCAGGCTAAGGGAGAAATTCTTTAAGATCAGCAAAGGCTCTTCTTTGCTGGAAAGCAACTGGAAGATGGGTGGACCCTGTCTGACTACAACATCCAAAAGAAGTCCACTCTTCACCTTGTATTGAGACTTGGTGGTGATGCTAAGAAAAGGAAGAAGTCTTACACCGCACCCAAAACCAATAAGCAAAGAGAAAGAAGGTTAAGTTGGCTGTTCTGAAATACTTTAAGGTGGATGACAATGACAAAATTCGTTGCCTTCTTTAGGAGTGTCCTTCAGGCAAATGTGGTGCTGGAGTTTTTATGGCCAGCCACTTTGAAAGACTGTGGCAAGTGTTCCCTGACCTATTGCTTCAACAAACCAGAAGCAAGTGATTATGAGTTAATAAAAGACATGAATCAACAACAGCAACAACCCTGACTGCATCCCAACATTAAGAAAACAAAATTCTCATGACTGGCCCAACAGATAGAAAAAGAACTGAAGTTGTTAATGATTTCACCTTACTTAGATCCATAATTAACACTGTAGCACCAGCAGTAAGGGAATCAAATGGCAAATCTGCTATCAAGGATCACTCCCGAGTACTAAAGAACAACATCAGTCAGTCTAAAGATTAAGATGAAGCTGATCAAAGGCCATGGCCTTCTCAATTGCTTGTTATACATCTGAAAGCTGGACAATGAAGAAGGGTGACAAAATAACTGATGCTTTTGAGTTGTGAGGCCAGAGTAAAGTATGGAATGTCTCATGTACTGCCAAGAGACAGGTTTGTGCTAGAAAAGGGAAACCAGTTGCTCCTTGGAGGCAAGGACAGTGAAATCCCATCTCACACACTTTGGGCATGTAACTAGAGTTCATGGAGAAGGGTATCATGCATGGAAAGATGGCAGAGTCACAAAAGAGGAGAATCCTCAACAAGATGGATAGACACGGTGACTGTAGCAAAGGGGTCAAGAGTGTTGGAGGTAGTGAGGTTGGCTCAGAGCAGTGATTCTTAAGAGTGATTCAGAGTCACCATGAAGTCACATAACAACAGCAGCTTTCGAACAGTCCAGTCCTCAGTGGCCTGTACTGAGTTTCTAAGGCTGTAAATTCTGACAGGAGGAGACTATCTTTCTTCGTTGGAACAGATGGTGAGAACTTAACTGCTGGTTAGCAGCTAAGTGTGCTACGTATTATGCCACCATGGCTCCTTTACAGAGAAACAAAATCTTCTTACTTCTCATCTGTGTAGCAACCCCTAAAGCTGGTTCTTTTCTGTCTGGATCTCTTGTCTAGGTTCCAGTCACACTACTATCTTTCAGCTCCTTCCATATACCACATTCTTTCTCATTTCATGACTTGTACAAATTAAATTATTTATTAACTCAGTAACAATGCAAAAAACCAAAAAGGTTAAGGTACAAAAGAGAATGAATACCCCCTCTTGCGTTTTAAGGTTCACTTTTAAAAGTGACTCCTCCAGAGAAGCTTTGGAAACCTGAAGGAGGGTTGCGAGAGTAAGAATCAACTCAACAGTAGAGGGCTGAGCTGTGTGGATTGTTCTAATCTTGCAGCGAACTTTTCATTATGCCTTCTTTTGATGCTGGCTGCTGTCAACTAAGGGAGACTTCAGGTATGCCAATCATTCCACAGAAGTTCAAGGCTGGGAACTTTTAGAAGCAGATCACCAAGCTTGTCTTCACAGTAACACTGAAATGAATAGTGATAGACCTGTACGAATATCCCTGCTTTATAGCTTTACATCTATGAGGAATGAAACCACGTCTGTCTGCCTCCTGATCCCTGGCAGAGAGCAGGTTGAAATAGGGTAAAAAAAATACATATATCTTTGTTAACACCTCGACAGAGGGAGAAAGATGGGGAACTCCCCCCGTTGAGAATAACTGCCTTGGAAAATCCATTATGAGTCAGTTCCAACTCAATGGTATACACCACCACCACCTCAATATATTTTGCAAAATGCTTTAATTTTATTTTTTTATGAGGAAACCAGACAAATCAAGAATATAAGCTATGTTATAAGCAATTACCCTATATTTTTCAAATGTGCCAATGTCATACAAAAGAATGCGAGGGGTTTGTTTAGATTAAGGGAATAAAGTGAAACAATAATCAAATTCAATGCCTGACTTTTGATTAGCTCAAGGGGGGGGGAATGTTATAAAGGGCTTTGTATTTTGACATTTGCAGAAACAGAATGTAGCCTGTTTATCAGGTATTAATGTATCTATGCAGGATTTCTTAAAAGTGGTCTTGGTATTGTAGTTAGGATGCAGAAGGCTATTGTCATCAGGAAATATACACTTGAAAATTTAAGGGTAAAGTATCACGTTGTTTGCCATTTACTTTCAAATAATTCAAGAGAAAAAAAAATCCCTATGTTTGTGTGCGGAGGACAAGAGTGGGTAAGAAAGTAGTCCAAGTAAGAGAGAAAGCAGTGCAAGAACATTCATTGACTAATTAGGTGAAGAGGGTATCAGTGTTCAATGTATCATTTTCCCAACTTTTGTGTACATGTGAAAGTTTCCAAAGTTAAAAGAAATATGAGAGAACATTTGTTGAGTGAATAAAAAAGCATTAAAGCAAACCCACTTCTCATTGAAACAGTCTCAATATAAGTCCCTGAACAAGCATTAATGAAAGGCTATTTAGAGAAGATAAAATATCTTCAAGGGTACAATTAAGACTAAAGTCTATCTGTCTATGTAGTAATAAATACAAAGTCTATTTTGCATTAGCTTTTAACACTGTCATGTATTCTATGTCTCTCTCCCATGATGACATTATAAATAATATAAAGGAAATGTATCCAGGTATAAGAACTAAAATTTATCACAAAAAGGGCTGCTCACATCCAACCTAAAGCTTTGCTCAAATGTGAGGCTCATCTATATAGAACGGTGGTGGCCCCTTACAGAAAATCAAGTACTCACATGGAGAAGCAGCACAGCAGCAAGAAATGACTGGCCCTGGCAGTAGCCAATTTCTTCATCATACACAGAATAAGCCTGGGGAGAAACAAAAAAACCCACTGTAAGCATAAATGAACAGTAATATATGTGCCACAGTTGCCCTAGAAGGTGTTCCCCCACTGAGCCTCCAACATAATTAACTACAGTTAAAATTTTTTTTAAAGCGTAATGAAATAGTATAATTTTTTGCCCTATACAGTCTTGAACGTAGGACCCTAGAAGATGCTTCCTCTACTCCACTGCTGTACGTTAGTGGTCAATGAGTGATACCAACAATCACTATCTTTTTTTCACAATAAATATAACTGTCATCATAACACTTACAGTGACTCAAAGGTGGGGAAAGTGAAGTAAAAATCTACTACACTAAAATATGGTTTTCTTATTCCCATCCATGTCCTTGCTCCTTCTGACTGGTATGTGCTCTTTCTTTTCTCTGCCTGGAAAAAAATCAGTCAATTCTTAAAGCCCAAATGTATTCCAAGTCTCTCAGAATTACTTCCTCTCTTCTCTCTGCTTCAATGACACATGGGTATTATATGTCACTGAAATGCCTATCTTTGCTACTAGGTTGTGAATTTCCTAAAAGAGTTGAAGTGATGTCCCAGTCAACCTAGCCAGCACACCACATTCTGCAGACACTTAATGCAGAAGTTACTAATTTTTCTTTCTGGGAAAAAGTCTATTGGCAATGACAGAAAAATATTATTCTTTCCACATGCTAATAATAACTTTGCTGATAAGAGAGATTACTCTGGTATCATTTGTGAATTCCTCAGCAATTCTTATTTTGTATTTTTCTTGGCAGCAGATTATTACTATCCATCTCCTCGGGGCATTATCGTTAGCAGAATATTAACTAACATTCTTTATAGTTTGCTCTTTAGTTTTGCAGTTTTAAGGAGTCTTATTCTCATGATGAATATTCACAGTTGCAAGTAAGCTGCAATGGAAGGGGTGTTCCTATAGATTAAAAAATTACTGCTTGCTTGACAAGTTCTGCTAAAATGTTCTTTATTTTTGATTCAACTTTTGTGTTAAGGTTTCTTTGGGCTCCTAGAAAAATCACTTTAGAACTGGAGAAGTTTAGAAATTAGGCAGAGCTACCATGTGTCAGTTTTTCCATTCAAAGTGATACAGCAGTATTTCAGATACCAGTGGGTTACCTCATTGTAGACATTTTTTAGCAGAGCCTCCACATTAAAAAAGACTAGGAAGCAGGGCTGGTTATAAATATCTGAAATAACAGACCCCTGAAAACACTGTAAAGAGCTGAGTATCTCTTTAATGACAGAAGATAATGTCATTAGGTAGAAAAAAAATTAAAATGCAATTCGAGAAGAGTTGTCTCTTCAAAGCAGAGGCTACCTTAATAAAGTAGATGGAATAAGGTATTCAGTCAATGAAGGGCCTTCATCTGTTGACATGGCATGAGTGCAAATGAGGAGAAACTGCTGTAGATATTCATGAATAATGGGAACAGGGAATGTAAAAACGTATGAACTTAATTGGAAATTATAAATAATGAAATGCAATAAAGATAAATTTTAGGCATTACTGTTATTGGTGGTTGTTAAGTGCCATCAAGCTTTATAGCTGTCCTAACAAACAACAATCTGAACTCTATTGTATCCTGAGCCATCCTTATCAACCCTGACATACTGGAGCCCATTGCTACAGATACTCTAGCAACTAATCTCACAGAAGGTCCTCCTCTCTTTGGCAGAAACTCCACCTTAGAAAGCATGATGTTCCTCTTCAAGGATCAGCCTTCCCTGACAATATGCCCAAAGTATGAGACAAAGCTTCACACTTTTGCCTCCAAAGAACATCTATGGTTGCATTCTCCAAGACATATCTCTTTGTTTCTTTGGCAGTCCTCAAGTTATTCTGCACTCTTCTTAACACCACATCTCAAAAGCATCCATTCTTCTCCTGTCATCCTTATTCAATGTCCAGTTCTCAGATGCACAGTACATGATCAGAAAGACTATGGCTTGAAGCAGGCACACCTTAGTTGTAAACTGACATCACCCCTCTTTAGGAATTTCGGAGAGGCCCCAAGAACAGACTTTCCCAATGCTATACATTTCCTGATCTCCTAACTTCTAGTACCAAGGGTGTTGACTGTGGATCCCAGTAAAAATAAATAGTAGACAATTTCAATCTTTCTTCCATCTGCCATGATGTGTCCTCTAAGTTCAGTGGTGAAGATTTTTGTTTTCTTGATGTTGAGTTATAATCCACAATGAAGGCTGCAGTCTTTGATCCTCTCCAGCAAGCGCCTCATGTCCTCCTTGCTTTCCAGCAAGCAGCAAGATTGTGTCATATGCGTAACACAGGTTGTTGATGAGTCAATCCTGGTATCACATTCTTCTTCATTAGAGTCCAGCTTCTCTAACGAATTGTTCAGCATCCAGACTGAATAGGTATGGAGCAAGAATACAGCCCTGACACAGACCTTTCCTGATTTTAAACCAGTATTCCCTTGCTCCATTTGGATATAGCATCGTGATATAGAATTTCAGCATCAAAAGAAGGTGAAGAGAGTACATGGAATCACTGTACAAAAAAGAATTAGTCAACACTAAAAATTTCTGTTAGTAGCATATGATAAATAGTAAATGGTGATGAAGAAAGAAGTTCAAAATTCCAGTTAATTTCCTGTCGAGTCTTTGATTTTCTGTATTTAGGATCCCATCATCTGAAAATAGACATTGTTTGACCATCTCTTTGCTAGAACATGCAATACAATACTGGACAGAAGAAATGATAAAGGGTATCCTTGTGTGGTTCCTGTTTACAAAGGGAATGCCTTCCATCTCTTTCCACTGAGATCTACTGGCTGTTGGTTTTGTGGATAGGTTTCTAATTAAGGTAAGGAATAACCCTTCTACTGCTCCTTAGGTGACTGTTCTGATCAGGAAAGGGTGTTGGACTTTGTCAAATGCAGCCATCAATGGATATTATCATGTAATTATTTTCCTTTGTTTTACTGATGTGGATGATTACATGGATTGTTGAGTTTGTGGGTTTTTTTGTTTTTTAATATTGAGCTATCAATGAATTCTATCTGATCATGATGTTTGGTTTTTTTAAATATGATACTGAATTTGGTTGGCTAGGATTTTGTTTAGAATTTTTGCATTTATGTTCATGAGATACTAATCTATAATTTTTTTCACTGATTTTTGTGTTTCTTATGAATATGATTTTCTTTCAGAATGATGCGTTTCTTGGGATAAATCTAAACAGAGATACAAAAATATATACAAAGAAAACTATAAAATGCTACTACAAAAGATAGAGACCAATATAAATAGGAGAATATACCATGCTCATGGATTTTTGTTGTTGATTGCTGTTGAGTCGAACACAACTCATAGCAACCTATGAACAAAAGGCCTGAAGCCTTTGTATAACTACTGACATTTATGAAAGTTCAGAGTTTCCAGAGGCATGTTCTTTAGAAAATGGATGCTAATCCTGCTTCTGCTCATGGATTAGAAGACATAAAACTGTGAAAATCTCAGTATTACTAAAAGCGATCTACAGATATAATGCAATTCTAATTCAGATCCTCCCAGAATACTTGATGGTATTCATGCAAAACCTATACTTGGATTACAAAGTACACCTCACAACAGAGCAAGGAAACAATGAATGGTTCACAATCAGGAGAGGAGTATGTCAGGGATGCTTCCTGTCTCCATTCCTTTTTAATCTATATGAAGAACAGCTCATTCAGGAGGCTGGACATTATGAGCAGAATGTGGCATCACGATTGGAGGAACACTCATCAACAACTCACCTTATGCAGAGGATACCACTTTGCTTGTAGAAACTGAAGAGGAACTGAAGAGTTGCTACAGAAGGTCAAGAACTGTCGTCTTCCATATGGATTGAAGCTCAACATCAAGAATACAAAGATTCTCACCACTGGGCCAACTGGCGACACCATGACAGATGGAGAAGAGATTGAGGTTGTTAACAATTTCAGCTTGCTTGGCTCCACATCAACAACACTCTTGTACTCTTGTCACCAGCAGTCAGGGAATCAAGAGATGAACTGCATTATAAAAGTCTGCTATGAGGGACCTCTCTAAAGTGCTGAAGAGCAACGATGGCTGAAGACTAAAGTATACCTAATTCAGGTCATGGTCTTCACAATGACGTGCTATGCATCAGAGAGATGGACATTAAACAAAGATGACAGAAGATGTCTTCAAGTTGTGGTGCTGGAGAAGAGTACTGAACATGCCATGGACTGCCAAGAGAACAGGCAGATTTATCCTGGAGATAGTAAAACCTGGCTGCTCCCTGAGGTAAGGATTTTGAAGCTCCATCTCATATGGGGCACAAGGCCAGGAGTAACTAGTCTTCGGAGAAAGACATCATGCATGGAAGGGTGGAGGAAGGAGTGCAGAAAAGGAAGCCCCTGGATAAGATGCATTAACAAAGTAACTGGAGTAATGAGGGTAGGTGTGTCTGAGACACTTAGATGAGACTAGCTCAAGATACAGCAGGGTTCAGAGCTACTGTACATAGGGTTGCTATGGGTCGCAGGCAACTTGACGGCACACAGTATCAACAATTCAGATCCAGTAATCCTTTTTCAAAGAGAGAGAAAAAGCAATCACCTGCTTTATATGACAAGGAAAGAGGCCTTGTATAAGCAAAGCACTATTCAAGAATAAAAACAAAGTAGGAACCCTCACATTTCTTGATTTCAAAACCTACCATACAGCTACAGTAACGGAAACAGCATGGTACTGCTACAAGAACCAATACATAGACCAATGGAACATAACTGAGAACCTAGAAGTAAATCCATGCACCTTTGGACAGCTGATCTGAGAAAGACATAAAACCCAATAGATGTGCAAAAGATAGTCTCCTTAAGAAAACTACTGGTAAAACTAGTACTCTATCAGTGGAAAACTGAAACAAGATCCATACTTCACACCATATACAAAATTTATTCAAGACAGATCAAGGGCTTAGAAGTAAAATCTAAAATTTACAAAGATTATCAC